TCGACCGGAGCTCGATTTATTTGGCGATTTTCAGATTTATGGGCATTGAACTTTGAGCATCGATTCCTATCTCATAAGTTGATGAAATTGGGAGATGTTGGATGATAATTGAAGAGGAAGATGAGTTCTTTTGACCAGTGCTAATTTCCGGCGGCTTAGGAGGTCGGAAGGCGCCGGAATTTCGTTGCAAAATGGCCGGAAAAATGAGAAAAATGGCTCTTGTCAAATTTGCGATGTAGGTCCTCATGTTTCAGTGTTAAAATCATTTGGTCCTTCAGTATCCATTCTTGAAATCGGGTGATACTTGAGTGACCGTTAGTGCAATTTTGTAACTTCAGTGTCGTTTTGTTATTTTTGATGTAACTTGAGTGATCAATTGTGAAATTAACCCGTTCAAAAAAGAAAGGATTTATGTCAATACATGATTGAATAATTTGAAAAAATAAAAATATAACACACAATTATTATCTGAAACATCATCTTGTACCTCCACCACTTGAGCCTATCTAATTCTAATGTTTAAGTACACATATGGGCACACATACATACGCATACAGCTGATGGCACGCACACCATTATGTACGTATTGTGCTCATAACAAGACGTGCATGTATTATATTTTTATATAGAATTGTGTGCACGTGATGGGGGGAGAATCTCGCCTTTACGTGCGACATTATTAATTATTTTAATCACGGGGCTCACCTAGATTGTAATTCAATATTATAATTTATTTATTGTACATGTAACATTGTTCATTATTTTATATACACACACAGACACATAATAAATACAAGTACAGATGCAGGCACACATCTTCCTTGGGACTTTAGCCTTCATCTTGGCTTAAAAAAAAAATTGATTTAAGTATAAAATTATTTTATTAAAAAATATGTGATTAAAGACAAATTGCATGCCATTTTATCTAATAAGAAATAAAATTATTACTTTAATGTAAATAAATAGAAATGTTGGATGCTTTTGAACATAAATTTCCACGATGGAATAAAATACAATTAAAATTTAGTACCATATCAATAACACCAACTTTTAATAATGAAACAGCGAAGGGGTATTACGCTAACATGGTGGAGCCAACATTAAGTGAACAAATTAGGTATGAATTTATTACAAATCTAATCACACTTAATTAGGTCTAATTTTTGCCAATCAATATTTAAGACCCATTATTTATCCCCTTTTTACTTATACTAGTCACAACTAAACGTGCGTTGCACTTTATTTTGAAATACTTTATAAACGATGTAAAAATGATATTTGAAAAATCAGTTAATATAAAAAATAGTTAAAAAAATTGTTTATGTGAAATGAACTTTTTATACAATTCAATTATTTATTTACGTGTATGATAATAATTAACATTAATTTATATATATCATACTATAATTCAATCAATTAATTCTTCAAGTTCATGCATGTA